GGCCCCTATATTGTTTGAGGAGAGAAGCGTTGCAGTTTGCTGATGCTTGACGGTTTCGGGTTGAGGGGGTCCCCATCTCAGCAAGGCTCCATACTTCCCTGGAACCCATCCCCCCCTTCCCACCTGCACAACCTAAACCCTAAACCCTAAACCCTAAACCCCAAACCCTAAACCCCAAACCCTAAACCCTAACCCCTAAACCCTAAACCCTAAACCCTAAACCCTAAACCCTAAACCTCAATCCGCCGGCCTTCCACGAAGGCCACAGGGCTACAGCCGCGAAGACAGCCTCAGGTCTTGGTTTTCGGGATTCGGGCTTAGGGCTTAGGGTGTTTTTGCTCTTTTTTGGGAGGTTAAATCTTGGTTTTCGGGACTCGGGCTTAGGGCTTAGGGTGTTTTTGTTTTTGTTTGGGGAGGTTAAAGGTACAATGGAACTGCTGTTTTCAAATAGCAAGCTAGGGTTCAGGACTTTTGGCGAAGGGGCATTAGAGGCTGAGGGTTTCCCGACTGTTCTTAGAACACCTGTATCTGCGTATCTACTACTTGCTTAAGAACCCCAAACCTTATAAGGAAGAGTACTGCTCATTTGTTTGGGTGGTTCTTCAGCAAGTAGTAGCTATGGAAATAGAACCAGCTAAGCTTGCGACTTTCCTTCGAGTCCGGTCCGGGTTTAGGGGTGGCAAAGCTGGCCTGAGAAAGTCTCCCCAAAGTTGCCAAAGAGCCCAATACCCCCTAAGGAATATTCCTTAGATCATGCTAAGGATCCCTATGTGGCTTAAGGAATACGGGGCTTTACGAAAATAGGGGGCCCCAAACATGGACCCCAAATTGTAGGATTCCCGAATTATAAGGACCCCAAGAAGGTACCAATACTTTCGGAACTCCCATATAGCATAAATTATGCTATATGGGAGTTCCGAAAGTATTGGTACCTTCTTGGGTAATTAAGGGTTTTGGGCTCTTGGAAAGGGGCTTGCCTGGCAGGGCGTCGCGCTGGCCCTTCGCAGCAGGGCCTGAGACACCTGGAGAGCGTTTGGGGGGGGGGGGGGGGGGGGGATTGTTTAGGGGTTAGGGTTTACGGTTTAGGGTTTAGTCTTTAGTGTTCAGGTTTTAGGATTTTGGGTTTCCGGTCTAGGGTTTGAGGGCTTAAGGACTTAGACCTTGGCGTTGCGCCGCGTCGTAGATCTCCGCCCTAAACTACTCTCAGCTCCACACCCTGAATCTTTCAACTCTACACCCTAAACCCTGCCACCCCTAAAGACCGCAGACCCTGAACTTTGGGCTTAGGGTTCCAGTGCTCGGTGGGTTTAGTTTAGGGCTTCGGGCTGAGGATGGTTCAGGACGCAGGGAGATTCGCTTCAGACGTTCTAGGGTTGAGGATTCAAGGGGTGGGGCTTTAGCTTAGGGTGCCCTACCCCATCGCTAACAATGAACCTCCAACAACAAGCCACACGGCCCTAAAGCTCGAAACTCTAAAAGCGTCGCACCCCAAAAACAATCCCAAAGACCCTCAAGCCCTCAAACCTGGAGACCCAAGAATGACGTGAGGGGCAAAGCCGAGGACAACGAAAGCTACTCTGAATTGGCGCCAATATGGGTTTGAAAACACAGCACACCACTACCACCACCACCGCCACCTCCACCACATTCCACACTCCGCCACACACATCCACACTCCACACCGCAACCACCACCACAGAGCACCACACTCCACACTCCACCACCAGAACCACAACCACCACACTGCACACTCCACCACACACCCCACATCGACAGTGCTCTCACGGAGACCGCGATGGATCTAGATCCGCTGAGCTCTCCGAAGCACGCGCCCCTGAGTACAGACCACAATATGTAATGCAACTATCGCCCCAATTTGCCTGATGGAATCAGGACTCCCACTCCCCAATTTCCTCGATAATTTCGGGTCCGAAGCAAGTAAAACTCAAGCCAAGCTACGTTAGCTTTCGTGAATATCAAAACTGAACTGCAAACCCTGGTGAAGCAAAAACAAAGCCCCAAAAACAAAAACAGCGTGGCACAATAAGCCCTAGGTGCTAGGTATCCTGGACCCACATTGAAAGGACCCGAAAACGTCTTCCAAATCCGCCCTGCCCTCAACAGTAAACCTAGCCCTAGACTCTAAACCCTAAACTCCAGACCCTAAACCCGAAACCCTTACACTCCAAAATCCCAAACCCCAAACCCGTATACCCAGAAAACCCTACAGCCCAAACCCCTAGACCCTAAACCCAAAACCTCCCAAATCCTAAGCCCCTGAACCCTCAACCCTCAACCCTAAACCCTAAACCCTAAACCCTAAACCCCAAACCCCAGGCCTGCCGCTTGGGCTCCGCGAGCGCAGAACTGAGGGCTGCCGAGGTGGCGGACAAGGCCGCGAGGGCGTAGAGGACCGTGACCTCGTGTAGGCGGGCTCTGAGGCTTCGGATGTTTGGGGCGTTTGGGGCTTAGGGTATTTGGGGTGTTCAGGGTTTAGGGACGCTGCTGCCGAACTGCCGCGGGCTTAGGGTTTGTTCCTTTTTGGCGTAGATAGCTCATCCTGAGGGTGTCAAACTGGGCCCACCAGGCAAGGTCCGGGTGCAGGGAGCACGCCGGCTTCCAAAATTCCCGCATCGCCAACATCGCTAACGTCGCTTGTGAGCCTTTGATGATGACCCTGCGGTCGTCACCTGTTTTCGACCTGTCGGCTTTCCTCATGCGAATGCGACACGCCATTGACTGCACAAACTATCTGAAGGTACCAGATCTACGAATTGCCTGAGACCCCCAATAAAATATTTTCCTTCTATAAGGGTCTACCTTTTTTTCCCCCACCTTCGGTGTGGGGTTGTTAGATTTTAAACTCAACTCTTCTCCTCGCCCGGAACTCTTCTCCTTGCCCGGTCTACTCCTAGAGACTCCCTGGAGTGCCCAACCCGAGTGACTCCTGGAGTCTGGAGTGCCCAACTTCAGAGAGTGTCCTGGAGTGCCCAATTACAGCAGAGACTCCCTGGAGTGCCCAACCCCAGAGACTCCCTGGAGCGCCCAACCCAAAATTTTTGGAGTGCCTAACCCCAGAAACTCCCTGGAGTGCCAACTTCAGAGACTCCCTGGAGTGCCCAACCCCAGAGACTCCCTGAAATGCCCAACCCCAGAGACTCCGTGGAGTGCCCAACCCCAGAGACTCCAACCCCAGAGACCCTGGAGTGCTAAGGTGGGGATGTTCGAAGTAAAATAGTCAATTTATTTGTTTGTTTTTGTTTTTTTGAGAGGGGGGGGGGGGGGTTCTTATGCAAACAGTAGAGAAGGGACGATTTGGGAAGCCCGTCATTGCGACGGCACTCTTGCCGTTCCAGGGTGGCTGAAGCATCGCTGCTGACTTCCCATGCGCAGCAGCACAGGAATGCTGTGGAGTTAGGGTTTAGAGTTTAGGGTTTAGGGTTTAGGGTTTAGGGTTTAGGATTTAGGGTTTAGGGTTAGGGTTTAGGGTTTAGGGTTTAGGGTTTAGGGTTTAGGGTTTAGGGTTTAGGGTTTAGGGTTTAGGGTTTAGGGTTTAGGGTTTAGGGTTTAGGGTTTAGGGTTTAGGGGTTAAAGTTGAGGGTTATGGAGCTTGGGGCTTGGTGTTGAGGTTGTTCAAGGTTTAGGGGTGTAGGGTGAGGGTGTCAGGTTTCTGGGCTTTGGGGTTAGGGGTCTGGGGGTTTTGCGGACGGAAGGGTTTCGCGGAAGAGGGCCAGGAACTGGCACTTTTTCTTTTCCGCTCCTTGCCCCAGATGGTTCAGGACCCTAAACTCTTGACCCCAGACCTTAGATCGACCCTGAACCCTAAACCCTAAGCCCCCCCCCCACCGGATCGGATTCTGAGTCCCACACCAGATTCAGAGGTGACGACAGAAAGTGCCACTGGAAGAAGCTGCCCTGGCAGCTCTATCTGGCTGGTTCTTCGTAGGGAATGAGGGAATGAGGTACCCTATATCATCCCTTAAAGAGTAAAAATGGGGCCCTAATTCCCTCATTCCCTACTACGGACCAGGGGGTTGTGCTTTAAGGCTTGTTGAGTTGTGTAGTCTTCAGGAAGTAGCTCTGAAGTAGGGTCATCGAGTGGGGTAACTCCAACTGGGTCCCGCTTGGAGGACTTATAGCTCCTAAAACCTAAACCCTAAACCCTGAACCCTAAACCCTAAACCCTAAACTGCTACTTTGTTCGGGCTTGGGAGTGCAGAAGCTTGCGCTGCTATGCTCTCCTCATGTCCCTAGGCTTGGCCTTAGGTGGGCTTAGGGTTTAGGGTTTAGGGTTTAGGGTTTAGGGTTTAGGGTTTAGGGTTTAGGGTTTAAGGGTCCGAATCACGCAAATTATTAAGGTTAAGTGCGCCAAAGACGGTCCTCAGTAGCATGTCCATGCTTTTATCCTACTAATACCCACCCCTGAACCTCCCAGCACTCTGCATGGCACCTCTCCTAACCCTAAACCCTAAACCCTAAACCCTAAACCCTGAATCCTACATTTGCCGACTCCGTGCCTGCAAAAGACCAGAGAGGACCTTAACCAGCACATCGACAATCAGAAGAACCTCAGAGGGTAGGGTTTAGGGTTTAGGGTTTAGGGTTAGAGTTCAAGGTTTAGGGCTTAGGGTTTAGGGTTTAGGGTTTAAGGTTTAGGGTTTAGGGTTTAGGGTTTAGGGTTTAGGGTTTAGGGTTTAGGGTTTAGGGTTTAGGGTTTAGGGTTTAGGGTTCTTGATATGGTTTTAGGAGATTTTCCTCAATTAAGGGGTATTGGAGCCCCTGGGTTTCTCCTGCTTCACCCCCACGCAAAAGCCCGACGTGGCTCCGGGTTTAAAGCGTTTGGGCTTAGGGCTTAGGGCTTAGGGTTTAGGGTTTAGGGTTTATGGGCTTAGGGTTACGAGTGATCTGATAGTGGATGAGGGCTTTGCTCAGGGTGGCGGGTTTGTTGGCTGAGGGTCACGAAGTTTAGGGTTGCAGGCTTCAGGCTTCGGTCAGAAAGCTCCTGAACCCTGAAACCCCGAAAGCATCTGAAACTTGCGCCCTGAGCCCGAAACTCTAAAATGCTTCGGAGCTCAGGGATTCAGGGATTCAGGGTTTAGGGTTTAGGGTTTAGGGTTTAGGGTTTAGGGTTTAGGGTTTAGGGTTTAGGGTTTAGGGTTTAGGGTTTAGGGTTTAGGGTTTAGGGGCTTGGACCTGGGGCTTGGGGCTTAAGGTTTGAGAGTTTAATGGCTTGGGCTTCCCCATGTACATGTATTCAAATAAACCCGCCGAGGCGCCGCCGCAAACCTCCCCGCCAAGGTTGCGGTGATTGCCGAGGGATCCTCCTGTCTGCGGGAGAAGATTTAGGGTTTATATGGCGGTTAGCCTGTACGCTCCCCCCCACCCCCACCCCCCACTGCAGTTCCCGTTTTTTCGACCGTATTCTTGCTATTATGTGTGTGAAGGTAGTGCCCCCCGCCCCCCACCCCACCCAACCCCCCCCCCTCCCCCTGGGCTCTCGATCATCGGCTTTGGAGTCTGATATGAGGTGGGTTTAGGGTTCAGGGTTTAGGGTTTAGGGTTTCAGGTCTAGGGTTTAGGGTTAGAATTGGTCGGTTTGGGGTCGGGTAGCTTGTACTATACAATTTTAATATAACAAGGTTGACAGGAGATAGTGCTGATAATGATTGTGGCTCATTATTCACTCTTCCACAAAGGGCGCCCACACTCTCACACTAAGCGCCTCCCCTCATGGTCGTGGCTTCTGCAGCTTACTGCTGGTTCGTAGGGAATAAAAGGAAATGAGGTACCCTATATCCCCCTACATATACCCTTTAAGGGCTTGCATAGGGTACCTCATTTCCCTCATTCCCGACTAACCAACAGTAAGATGGTGGTGGCAGACAACAGCTCCAGAGCCCTGGCCCAAAACGCCCCGAGGCGCCCCGAAGATCACCCCAAACCCTAAACCCTAAACCCTAAACCCTAAACCCTAAACCCTAAACCCTAAACCCTAAACCCTAAACCCTAAACCCTAAACCCTAAACCCTAAACCCTAAACCCTAAACCCTAACCTAAACCCTAAACCCTAAACCCTAAACCCTAAACCCTAAACCCTAAACCCTAAAACCTAAACCCTAAACCCTAAACCCTAAACCCTAAACCCTAAACCCTAAACCCTAAACCCTAAACCCTAAACCCTAAACCCTAAACCCTAAACCCTACCCTAAACCTGGGGATGTTCCCCTTTCTACTGACAGTCCCTGATAGGAATTATAATAGGGGGGGGGGGGGGGTACCATCATCCCTCTTCAGGACCGTTAGTAGCAGGGTGAACATCCCAACCTAAACCCCACCAATTTCAAAGCCGCTGAACCCAAAAACAAAAACAAAACAGCCCTAAACCCTAAACCCTAAACCCTAAACCCTAAACCTTGGAGACCGGTACCTGCCTGGAGCTCCTCCTCGACTCCCGGCTCGCTCCTTCTCAAGTGGGCTTAGAACTTCTTCATAATTTTGGAGGGCTTGGGAGGTTTCAGGTTTTTTGGGGGGGTCTTGAGGGATTAGGGTTTCGGGGGGGGTGTTGAGGTTTTTGGGGTTTTGGGGTCTTTGAGGTTTTTGGGTTTTTGGGGTCTTGAGGTTTTAGAGTTTTGGGGGGCTTGAGGTTTTCCTTGCGGTTTTGGAGGGGTTTAGGGTTTTTGGGGGGGTCTGGGATGTTCAAAGATGTCGGGCTGACTTGGGCGCTAAGTTGGTCCAAGCCCAGGGGCCCACAAGCGGAGTCCTGGGTCGGGTTCTCGAGCCTAAACCCTAAACCCTAAACCCTAAACCCTAAACCCTAAACCATTGTCAACATGGCCAGCTTTCGAAATCACACAGGGCTTCTTCTTGAGTGCCCCCAGAACCTTGAACCCTAGAACCTAAAATGGCTCGTATCTTATCGCAGAACAAGGTCCCGCTCACTACGGTGGCTCTTCCCAAACTCGCAAACACAATCAGGGACTTGCGGGGGGAATCTAAAAGGCTTTTCTAAACACAAGGATACTGTACCCTTTTTGGTTGAGGGGATGTATAAGGGAGCCGAAGCCAATACAAATGGGACAAAGCGTTTTGTGTTCAGGGTTTAGGTGTTTAGGGGCTTAGGGATTTCGGGTTTAGGGTTTTAGGGTTTGGGGTTTAGGGTTTAGGGTTTAGGGTTTAGGGTTTAGGGTTTAGGGTTTAGGGTTTAGGGTTTAGGGTTTAGGGTTTAGGGTTTAGGGTTTAGGGTTTAGGGTTGAGCAAGCCCCCGGTTTGCAAGAAAGGCGCCCGACGGAGACTGCCGAGGTAAAGATGTCTTGCCTGGCGTCCGAGGGGTCAAGGCAGGGGAACGGAAGCCACTAGCGGGGTTTAGGGCCTAGGGTTTTAGGGTTTAGGGTTTTAGGGTTTAGGGTTTAGGGTTTTAGGGTTTAGGGTTTTAGGGTTTAGGGTTTAGCGTTTAGGGTCGGGTTTAGGCTGTGCAAGGTCTAGGCTTGAGAGCAACCCCAAGCCCCCCACACCCCAAACCCTACCTTGAAGCGGGCAAGAGGTTTAGGGTTTAGGGTTTAGGGTTTAGGGTTTAGGGTTTAGGGTTTAGGGTTTAGGGTTTAGGGTCTAGGGTTTAGGGTTTAGGGTTCCAGTCTTTTGGGAGCCCTGGAAGCCTCGGAAGCTCCCACAGCCCGACCTCCCAGAGACTCCAACCCCTGAACGAAGGAATATACCGGGTTTCGGGTTTAGGGTTTAGGGTTTAGGGTTTCGGGTTTAAGGGTTTAGGGTTTAGGGTTTAGGGTTTAGGGTTTAGGGTTTAGGGTTTAGGGTGTAGGGTTTAGGGTTTAGGGTTTAGGGTTTAGGGTTTAGGGCTATATAGGGTTCCTTTTTTGGCGTGAGGAATATTCCGCAATTAAGGAATACCCAGAGAGCCCAATACCCCTTAATTAAGGAATATTCCTGAAAATCATACTAAAGACCCCTATATGGTTTATGGAATATTGCTTAAATTAAGGGGTTTTGGGCTCTCTGGGTACACCTTGAAATAAGGAATAGGGGGTATCGAAGCTGGGGAAAGCGTATGGCACCATGAGCGGGGGATAGGGTTTAGGGGAGAGGGCTAACCCCAAAACCCTAATCCTAGACCCTAGAACCCTAAACCTTGGACCCTAAACCCGATACCCTAAACCCCAAACCCCCTAAACCACGCAAGAGAGGCAGCATCGTGACGCACCCACGAAAGGGCCCCAGCCTCAGGGCCCTAAACCCTAAAACCCTAAACCCTAAACCCTAAAACCCTTAACCCCCTAAAGCCCCTAAAGCCCCTAAAGCCCCTAAACCCCCTAAACCCCCTAAACCCCCTAAACCCCCTAAACCCCTGGGCCCAGCCTCAGGGTGACCAGCGACAGGGCTCGGTCTCGAGACCGGTCTCCGCTCTCGGCCCCCAGTCGGCCCCACGGCCTCAGCAGCTTGGGGTTTCGGGTTTCGGGTTTCGGGTTTCGGGTTTAGGGTTTAGGGTTTAGGGTTTAGGCTTTAGGGTTTAGGGTTTAGGGTTTAGGGTTTAGGGTTTAGGGTTTAGGGTTTTTGGGTTCAGGGTTTAGGGTTTAGGGCTTAGGGCTTAGGGCTTAGGGCTTAGGGCTTAGGGCTTAGGGCTTAGGGCTTAGGGCTTAGGGCTTAGGGCTTAGGGCTTAGGGCTTAGGGCTTCGGGGCACGAAGCCTTGCCCCCCGCGACCTAAACCCCATAGAGTTTGGGCCGTGGCTTTTGCAACTTGGGGTTGAGAACAGGTACTATGGAGGTTCGAATAATTACGAATAGTCCCTTATGGTCCCTATGTAATTCTACCATAACAACCCCCAAAACCCTGCCCCTAAAGTACGAGGGCTTAGGGTTCCGCACAACCAGAGTAGCTCAAGCCCGGGAGCGTGCCAATGGTGACCGCGCGGCGAAACCTCCAGCAGATGTTTGGGCTTCGGGCGTGTTGCCCCAAACCCTAAACCCTAAACCCTAAACCCTAAACCCTAAACCCTAAACCCCGCAAGCTTGCAGGATGGGCTTGAGCCCTGATGGATGTCAAGACGTGCGGTGACTTGCCCATATGGCTTCGACTTGAAAAACATATGGGGGCTTGCGAAAACAGGGGGTCCCTAAGATAGACCCCAAATGGTAGGATTCCCTTGCAAAAAAAAAGACCCCAAATACTAGGATTCCCTTAAAAAAATTGAGGACCCCGGGTCCCCAATTTCGGAAACCCCCGTTTTTACAGTCAGGATCCTTGTCCCATTCATGTCGTAACGAAAGACTCCTACGAACGGACTTCCTCAAGCGCCCTCGTGAGCCTGTGAGCCTAGGGCCGCTTCTATCCAGGCCCCAGACAACAGGAACGAAGCTCACAAAAAACTGCTTGTGGTTCTTTGTGGCGAACTTAATCACTTAAGCCCTAAGCCCTAAACCCTAAACCCCAAGCCCTAAACCCTAAACCCCCCTTCCCTCAACAGGAAGATTGGGGCTGGAGCTCCTTGAGTTTTTAGTGTTTCGGGAGCCCTGGACCTTAAACCCTACTTGGAGGTTCATGGGACTTAATAAGCACTTATAACTGGGCTTAGAACCCTAATTATAATTGGGATAACCCCTATAAGGCCCTTTAGGGGCATTAGAAGTAGGGTGATAAGTACAGTTATGAGTGGTTAGTAAGTACCATGAACCTCCAAGTAAACCTTGGGATGTTCCCCCTTCTGATCTAGGAGTCCTTAGTAGGGACGATGATAGGGGGGGGGGGTACCAGAATCATAGTACCCCCCCCCCTACTGCCCAGCTTTAAACCCTAAACCCTACGCCCTAAACCCCAAAACCGCGTCCTGATGATCACACCCTCAGTGTCGGCTTCAAGGAGGCGTTTACTCTACATCCTTAGCCTGAATCCTTCACGGGTTGAGGGTTTAGGGTTTAGGGTTTAGGGTTTAGGAACCCTAAACCCTGTCGGCTTTGTAAAAGTCTGGCGTCGGAATTATGGCTTAGGGTTTCTAAGCCCTAAACCCTAAACCCCAAACGCTCAACCCTGAACCCGAAACCCTAAACCCGGCCTTCCCGGCATGAAAGGGCTGGGACTCCGCCGGAAGGAGTTCTCCGCGGGATTGGACATGGTCCGGGTAAACACCTCCACGACTGACAGCTCTTACAACCCTCCCTGTGACCCTAAACCTGAAGCCTAAACCCTAAACCCTAAACCCTAAACCCTAAACCCTAAACATGACCTCCGCACACCGAGCTTCGTGCCTTAAACCCTCGGGGTCCTAAGCCCGGCCCAGCCCCAATCCTGCCCTGTAGGAGCTCAGTGGGATTTATGGTAGAAGGCTTTCAACCCCTAAACCCTAAACCCTAAACCCTAAACCCTAAACCCCAAACCCTAAGAACTTCAACCCCTTAAAATTGTGACAAACCCTCCCTAAAGCTCCCAACGCCCTCAGCACACTCCTAGACAAAACAAGCCAGCCAAACCCTAAACCCTAACCCTACAAACCTTCATGGCTTTTAACTCCAGGCCCCAAAGCCGAGCCTCCGTGCCATCAAAGGGACCTGGGCCGGTGCAGGTTTAAGGTTTAGGCGGAGTCGTTTTATTCGAAAGCAGTGAGGATTGCGTCAAGTTTGTGCAAACCGTTGCCCAAACCAGCCCCTAGCCCCCGAAGCCTAGGCCGCACTACGCGCCATGGCAGGCCATGGCACTCAGTCCAGCAAAAACCAGGACTCGGGGGGGCCGCAGGGCCCTTCGAGCCAGCAAGTGCAAACTGATACAAGGACCACTGGAGCGAGCGACAACACCACAAGAGCTGCGAGCCGCGGGGCTGTGAGCCCGAGAGTTGCGAGCGACGGTGCTGCGAGCCGGGAAGCTGCGAGTCTGAGAGCTGTGACGCTGAGAGCTACCAGGCTGCGAGCGGAAGAGGACTGCGAGCCTGAAGCCTTCGAGCCGCGGGGCCGCGAGCTTGAAGTCTGCGAGCAGCGGGACTGCGAGCAGCGGGGCTGAGCGAGCAGCTCAGCTGTGCCAGCCCCTGGTGCTGGCTGGGCGCGGCGTCGAGCCGTGCCGCAGCAAAGACTCGGTAGCGGTCCCGCTTGGCCGCTTCGGCCATGCGCGGCGCCGCCGCCGCCAGCGCCGCCGGGTCGACGCACTTGGCTGCGAATGGGAAGTGAGGTCAACATAGTGGGAACGGCCCACCTACGTGTGCCGTCAGAGCGCTGCCAGCCGGGGACCTCGGCTTCCCGCGTAGCGACGATTGCGGTAGCGTGGCGTCTCTTGCGCAGGCATGGCGCAAGCCTGAGTACTTTTGTTTAGAAGGAATCCTGGTATCAAAAGGTGTAAGGTCTTAGGGGCTGTACAACGGGGGAAGGGCAAACAGAAATAAATGAGCAAAAGAGGAGCGTGTCAAACACAACTTCCCTAAGTCCTAAACCCTAGCGCCGAAACACCCCTCTCCAACCCTGCAACCCTACACCCCCTCAAAGCCCTCAAACCCGTGGTCCCCAAAGTTTCCAACCTCTAACTCCACCTCAAACCCCAACAATTCAAAATCCTGACCTTGAGACCCCAAACCCTAGACACCCTACAACTGGCCAACAGAAACCTAAGCCCTAAAGCTTCTGGGGCATTCCAGAAAAAAAAGTTGCCCCCCTGATATACCACAAAGGGCCACCAAAGTACTATAATCCTCCCCCCCCCCCCCCCAACAAAAAAACAAAACAAAGCACAAATCACTATCCCTGCAAGTCGCCCAAGCGCCGCCCCAAACCCTAAACCTTAAACCCTAAACCTTAAACCCTGAACCCTGAACCCGGAACCCTAAACCCTAAGCCCTAAACCCTAGCCCGGGCTCCCCGACGGCTCGCTGCCGACGCCTGTGGTATAGGGTGGTCTCTAGGCGCGTTGAATGCTTAAGGGCTAGGGTTGAGGGTTGAGTGTTTAGGGTTTAGGATTTAGGATTTAGGGTTTAGGGCTTAGGGTTTCGGGTTTAGGCTTTAAGGCCTAAAGCTTAGGGTTCGGGGTTTACGGCTCAGGGGTTAGAGTTTAGGGTTTGGGGTTTAGGGATTGGGGCGAGGCTTTACGGAAGTGATTGAAGGTTTGGGGCCTTCAGTTAGGGGCCCCTGTGGTGTACCCAATTACCTAATTTCCGAAGTCCTACTGCGAACGAAGAAGTGGGGTTTTGATTGGCCACTTGCGAGGATCCTAAGTTCAGCCTTATGTCGGATTCGGGGTTTGGGTGTGAGGTTGTTAAGGTAAATGGCCTTGCTGTCAAAGCTTCTAGCCACGAACGCTTTACAGAAAGAAATGTCCGAGCCCACAATAGCGCTACATACGGGAGGTACACACCCAGACCCCTCAGAGGATCCAAAAACACATCCCCAAATAGTACCCTATACTACTGGTGGGTCATTCGGAGGAACAAGGGGACATATTTTTTGGATCCTCCCAGGCATCTAGGCAGCGAACACGAGTGGTAGGTTTTCCATGGCACTCTCCCCGTTGATGCGCATCCATAAGGCGCTGTGCATCGGCGCACAGGTCTCTTGCAAATGTAAAACAGGGCCACAGCGCAAGGCACTCCATCTGCGACTCGGGTTGTAGAGGTGGTTCCGTCTCAAACGCGAAACGCCGTTCTCAGCGCTTGGGTAGCTGGTGTCTCCGTTGAGAATTTGAGGTTGTTGCACCTCTACAGACACGGTAGGGTGGGATCTGAGTGAGTAAGCACACGTGGCCGTAACAAACCTGCTACCTTGCAACAAGCCCCAAGCCCAACACCTCTCCCCCGGGTCAATTAAAGATAGTCAACATCAAATCACTAAACCCGGAAACCTTAAGCCTTAAATTCTCAAAACAGAAATCCAGGGCAGCTCCAAACCCTAAACAAACCTAAACGCTAACATCCTACGTGCAACCTCATCAAGCGGAGTCAAGCTACTAAACTTTTATCGCCGCAACTCCGCAAACCCTCAACCGCAAACCCTGAAATCCTGAACCTCAGCTCCCTAAGCCCTAAAGCCTTAAACCCGGAAACCCTAAACCCTAAACCCTAAACCCTAAACCCTAAACCCTAAACCCATAAACCCTTAAACCTTCAAACCCAGAACCCTCAGATCCCCCCCTCCCCCCTTCCCAAATCCTAAGCCCGAAACCCTCTCTCTCCCGGCCGCTCCTCTGGTGGAACCGAGGCAAGGAGGGTGACCGTCCGGGCAAAGAAGGTGCCCTGAGGGTTTTAGGCCGAGGGTTTTAGGCCTTAGGGTTTAGGCGTTTCGGGTTTAGGGATATTTTGGGGTCGAGGTGGGGCTAGGGGTTTGAGTTCTCGGGCGTTCGGGCCTTTAGGGATTCTGGGGTTGGGGACTTAGGGCCTTTTAGGGATTTAGGGCCTTCGGGCGCCCTAGGCCGCCTTAGGGCGTTAGAGCCTTCAAGCCTTCATGCCTCGAAAAAAAGCGCTGACACCCATATCAGCTATGTGTATGTTATCTTTGTTTCTTGACATGGGGGGTTGACGATATCCGGGGTACCTTATTGGGGTCCCTATTTTCGTAAGCCCCCATATTCATCCAAGTTCTAAGCGGACTGTCTGTTTTTCCACTAATTCTGGGCAGGGCACGAATTCGAGCACAGGAACGCGCACGCAGCCTACGCGACCCGCCCCGAGGCCCTACATGCGATGTTTGGGACACCTGGGGTGTCATAGGGTACTGAGAATAACTTGGGATGTTCCCCCTTATACTAACAGTCCTTAGTCGGGAATATAATGGAATATAATAGGGGTACTTTAATGATCCCTATGAATAATAACAAGGACTGTTAGTATAAGGGGGAACATCCCAAGTCACAGCGCATCTGAGGGGTATAAAAGGGTTCCTCATTTAAGGCAATCTAAACCTCCTACCCTGGACGTTGGAGGGTCCCCTGGTGTCGTGAACCCCATGGGTGTTGATGGGTGTTGGCACACCGTTTGGAAAGAAACAAAATACACACTCGAACCCAGGGCCCCACAAACCTACGCCCTAAGCCCGAATCAACACCCCACGGGCAAGCTCACCTGCGCTGTCCAAGCGATCCCACTCCCGCCACCACTGATCACGGCCCCCAGGAGGTAGCTGGACCTCGATGGGGTTTCAGGGCTGGACTTGGAGGTTCATGGGGTGGATAAAACCGGATTAAAGTAGGGTGATACTCGTTGTAACTATACGTGGCACCCTATTTGGGTTACGGATAACCTTAACTTCTGAACTGCCCATGAACCTGTGGCGGTAGGGTTAGGTTTCGGGGCTTCGGGCTTGCAACCCTGCATCCTGCACCCCCGAACTGTCTGGGATCTAGATGACCAAACCACCTCCAAAGTCAAGGCCCCTGCCTAATCCGCCCTTTCCCTTGAGATTCAATATAACACTAAACCCCAGACCCCACACCCGAATTAAATCCCAAACCCTCAACCTCAAACCCTAAAGCCTCATTGCTGCTCCGTGCGGCCACTGCAGCGCACTGCCCGAGGGCTGCTGCGATGCAAAGGCGAAAAGAACCGCGAAGGCCGCCTGACTGCGGGGCTCAAGGCCTAGGGTTTAGGTTTTGGGTTTATGGTTCAGGCTGGTTCAAAACTGCGACACCAGGCCCTCTACTGCATAAGAACGATAACGCATCTTAATGTACTACTAGTGGTGATACGAATCAGAAGTGGAAAAGATCATGGGTGATAACCATAAGATGCTTGAAGTTTCCCATGGCCGGTGCAGATTTGGGCGGGCGCTGCTACCTTGTCAGCTCCATTCGCGGAGCCCTGACGTCTAACAATCAGTCTTCTTGAGTCTTCGTGGCTTCTTGATTTCGGGTGGGGCTCCTCCACTTGCAATTGCCCGCTCTGCATCTGCTCCCCTACACCCAAAACCCTAAACCCTAAACCCTGAACCCTAAACCCTAAACCGTGACAGCTTTGAAGTTGGGATGCCTTGGGTTCAACCACCACGTTTAGTAAGCTGGGCTTCGCAGGCCGCTAGCACAAGCCGAAACTCAAGCCAAACAAGGCAGCAACGAACCAACTAACCCTGAACTACACAAGAAATGCGATAAACCTCCGGAACTTTACTAGAGCAGCTACAAGCATAACAAAGCCCTGAAAATTACTATGCATGCAACTATTTTATCTATACATACATACATGCATACATACATACATACATATATATATATATATATACATACATACATATACATACACATACACATATACACATACATGTACATGTACATATACATCTACATCTACATCTACATCTACATCTACATCTGCATCTACATCTACATATACATATACATATACATATACATATACATATACATATACATATACATATACATATCATATACATATACATACACATATGCATATACATATACATGAACATACACATATACATATACATATACATATACATATACGAATACAAATACAAATACATATTGAGTGAGTGAGTGAGTGAGTGAGGAGCGACCTATCAAAGAAGGCCTTGCCTAAGGCGCTGTCCCTCCCGGCTTCACAGGGGGCTCCGTAACCATCATCGCCCCCTCCACTTGGAGTTCACACTGGCCGTCATTGCCCGGCCAAAAAAAAGGGAGGAAGGGAGCGAGCGTCGAGGAAGCCCACCAATGAAGAGGCCGGAGGGGAGGCCACGAATGGGGAATAGGGCGAGCCACGCGAAGGTCCAGGGGGCCACGCCACCACAGCGTGCTTGGTGTTGTCATATCCCTCGTCGCTGGTCCAGAGGCACTGGGAGGCGAGGCGGCCGAGGCAGCCGACGTGGCATAGGCTGAGGGGCCGGCGCTCTCGGTGGACACTAGCCGAACGATGACGGCGCGCCGGTCATCTGTCGGGCGACTGGCCAAGCCCTGGTCCGTCACGCACGCAAAGCCTGGCATCAGCCCCCTGCGCGCAGGAAAAAACAGGCGCTCCGGCACTGCCAAAACGAGTAAGGGAAGGCTGCATGAGGACAGGGACGGCCGGCGGCGGAGGCGGCTGCGCAGGGAGGCCATTGCCAACCACCAAGCTAAGGCTGACACGGAGGGCGCGCAAAGCCTGGAGATTCATGGCGTGGCCGGCCGCAGAAAATAACGCAGGCGCATGCAAGGAGCCTTGAACTACGGTCCGTCTCATAGACAGATGCACATTACAGCTAAGCTGGAGGCATGCCTGCCGCAGTAACATCGCAGGAGCGGAGTGCTATGGCAACCGTCAGAAGCATCGGCGTCGACCATGGCAGGAGATCAGACAGCGAATAGGCGTGGGAATGTCTGAGAAAACGCGGGACCAGGCCGTCCAGGGACGTCGTAGGTGGATTCTTTGAAAAATGATGCTATAATCAACGTGTGGCGTCTCAGCCGGTCGCGCCTCCCAACTGTTATCAAGCACAAGGAAGGTTTCAAGCAAGGCAAGCAAGGAAAATGAAAACTCAATGGTTTGCACAGTCATGTTGCAGGTCCAATGGCAAAGCCCCGCCCCTCATAAGGCTGCGGTTGATGCAAGCATGCCAACTTCAAGCAGAGGTTCACAAACACATGCCATGGCCCATCGAATGTTGCAATGCTGTTGTTGCGCAGATAAAAAATATCGACATCCGCCGTATCTCGCGCGCGGCGCGTCAGAGTCGCAAGGGGAAGGCGGCAGGACTTGAGAGACCCTCGCCTTTGTTGCGGTCTTTCCAACTGCACAAGGCGCCTGCGAGGCGGAAATCAGACACGCCAGGGGACTACTGAACCACTTGCAGCGAAAATGAATGCACGCTATGCGCCGCGAAAGTTGCTGCACATTCCTTAGCAGATCTTGGGACTGCAGATCTTGGGACTGCAGAGCTGTCACCACCCCAAGTTTGAAACACATTTACACACGTCGGCGGGTCGCCCCATGCAACGACTGACCCATCTGCTCGAGGATCACCCAGGCCCTTGTCAATTAAGCCACAAGCGTGATCAAAACACGAAAAAAACAACTCAATGTGATCATTCAGAAAAGAAATAAAAACACGCTATCAGCAAAAAACCAGCAGCAATTCTACTACTTGGTCCCCGGAACACTCACGTGCAAAGCTGCGGCTTCAGTGTCACAGGGGGCAATTATGCTCCTACAGGCTCGAGAGACATTCTCATCGACAGGCAGCGAAACTGCTGTCAGACTACATGGTACTCGCAGCAAATTATCGCAAGCACGGCGGCTAAAGCCACCATCAAATGCGAGAAGAAGGAGGAGAGCGGGGGAGAGAGAGAGAGAGAGAGAGAGAGAGAGAGAGAGAGAGAGAGAGAGAGAGAGAGAGAGAGAGAAAAAAAAAAAAAAAAAAAAAGGGGAAGCTCCACAGGGACAGCAGCGATTGCCGGAAGAGGGCGGCAAAGCCCTTGCACAACGGTGTAAGTAACAAAGAGAAGGGAAGGAGAGAGAAAAAGAAAGAGAAAAAAAAGGAGGAGAAGGGGAAAGGAAAGAAAAAACAACGTGGGGGGGGGGGGGGGGGGCGCTCAGAACGAGCACCACTCAGCAGCTTTTCGCCAGAAGGACGCCTGCAGTACCTCACAGAGCAGGGGCGGCAAAGCCGTGCAACCAGGTGCTAGGACGCAGCCCTCCAGGAGGTAGTGCTAGCCATGGTGCCTTATGCTAATCCCCAGACCACACCCGTGCAGAGGTGTTTTGGACAGTTCGCAGCACCACCACTGCACTGTGAAGAGCTCATGAACATTCTCCCCCAGTATAGACGCAGGAGAGGCCCTGCGCAAGAAGTGCAGGAGGGCCTGGCCCCACGCACGACATGCAGCAGCCTCCAAAGGGGCCCGCCGGGGCAAACCACGGAGCAGGTTCAGCCCAGCTCGTGCACCAGTAAGGCCCCAAGGGCAGTACTGAAGGCGGTCGCTGGGCATTTTAGTTGCCACTCCCAAAGCGCGGCAATCCCATGCCAGGATGCCCGTCCAAAAAGGCCCGAAACCCTGCAATGTCTCCACCGCTTCCAGGAAGGGTCTCCAAGCAGGCTGCATCGCCAAGGTAAGTAAATGTCCGCGTGTCTCCCAAAGGTTAGAAACAGGCGCAAGTAGCACACTGTCGATGAGGGTTCCCAAAGCACGCCAATCGCGTAGTTGAGCTAGAGCTCGCTCTTGGTGCACCACAGCGATGTGATGATCATCACTAAGGACAGGTCCACGTGCCGCAGCAGTCAGGAGGAGGTGCCGAATAGTAGCCGGGTTCCAGTCCCTCATGCACCCCAGTGCTTGGTTGAGCCTGCGCAACATATACATATACATATACAAAACCCCCAAGCCCCAAAACTCCACAACCTAAACCCCACCCCCAAAAAATCCCCAATACGCCTCCCCCGAGAGCCCCAGCCCCTAACAACCCTACACCCTCTTCCTAAACCCTAAACCCTAAACCCTAACCTTAAACCCTAAACCCTAAACCCTAAATCTTAACTGAGGGCCTGCAGGCTGAGCCCGACCACCAGCCCGGGCTTCGAGCCCAGCACCTTGAGGCCACGAGGCACCCTGGATGCCCTACTTTGGAGGGTCATGGATAGGGTTTAGGGTTTAGGGTTTAGGGTTTAGGGTTTAGGGTTTAGGGTTTAGGGTTTAGGGTTTAGGGTTTAGGGTTTAGGGTTTAGGGTTTAGGGTTTAGGGTTTAGGGTTTTTGGGTTTAGGGTAGAGGGTTTAGGGTGTAGGGTCATGGATAGCTAGAGTTCTAAGGATAAGGACTTAGGGCTTAGGGTTTGGGGCGGACAAGAAGGGTGTAACTGTTCGGAAAATATAACCCTCTAAGATGCTTAAGAACCCCCACAAATAAAAACATAAAGAATAATAATCCCTATATTGGCCTTGCAAGGAAGAACACTTTTTTGGGGGGGGCGGGGGGGGGGGGGTTCTTAAGCAATAGGGTTTAGGGTTTAGGGTTTAGGGTTTAGGGTTTAGGGTTTAGGGCTTAGGGTTTAGGGTTTAGGGTTTAGAGTATGAGCTCGGTGCACCTTCACCACTGCCGGGCCGGCCAGGAGGGCCGAGGCGACCATGGCCAAGAAGAGGAGCCCGGTCCCTGTTTGGGACGTGACTAGACCCAGAAAGAAGGGCTTAGGGCTTAGGGTTTAGGGTTTAGGGTTTAGGGTGTTTTGGGGTTTAGGGTTTCGGGTTTAGGGTTTAGGGTTTAGGGTTGAGGGTTTAGGGTTTAGGGTTTAGGGTTTCGTCCTCTTGGGGGGTTTGGGCTTGCCTAGGGCTTGTTCTCTTCGGGGTTTGGGGGTTTAGGCTTAGGGTTTAGGATTTAGGGTTCAGTGTTCAGGGTTTCTGGGGGCCCTCTGGAGAAGCCTACAGTCTAAAGCCTACTCATGCTAATTCCTGGAACCCTCCCAACCCTTAAACTGAAAAAAGAACCCAAAAAAACACAAAGCTCCATAATAGGGCACCCTGAACCCTGAACTAAACCCTAAAGCCTTGTCAACCACCACCCCAAAACCCTCTAAAGCCCTAAAACCCCATAAAGCCCCATAACCCCTGAAGCCCTAAGGAAACCAAAGGCTTTCCTGCAAGCGAAACCCTAAACCCTAAACCCTAAACCCTAAACCCTGGGCGCGGGGGGTCGTCGCCTACGCGACCGACCATGGGAGCAAGAGCCGAGGAGGCCTTGGGTTGGAGCTTTGGGTTGGAGCTTAGGGTTGAGGGTTTGGGGGCTAGGGTTTAGGGTTTAGGGTTTAGGGTTTAGGGTTTAGGGTTTAGGGTTTAGGGTTTAGGGTTTAGGGTTTAGGGTTTAGGGTTTAGGGTCTAGGGTACAGGGTTTAGGGTTTAGGGTTTAGGGTTTAGGGTTTAGGGTTTAGGGTTTAGGGTTGTGGGAAGGTTCATAGACCCCTACCTATAACTACCCCTGAGCCTCCGTTTTTGCACTCATATAATTGTTGCGGTTAAAAAACTAGCAAGCATTATTACGACTAGCACTAAACTTAGCACGATTGTTACGGTTATTATTCAAATTGGTCGTAACAGTAGCAACTGCAATGATTATCATCATTCTCCTTATCATCATGAACTATTAGGGGTTGAAGGCTTAGGGTTTAGGGTTTAGGGTTTAGGGTTTAGGGTTTAGGGTTTAGGGTTTAGGGTTTAGGGTTTAGGGGTTGAAGGCTTAGGGTTGAGGATCGGAAGTTTCGGGTTCAGGGCTTTCGTCTGGGGCGGCGGTTGTCGGGCTTCCGGCGTACGCGGGTTTGGACCTTCGGCGCAGGGTTTGGGGCTAAAGCTGTGGCTCCGGCTCATGAGCAGAAGCAGGGTCATTTTTATGGCAACTACACTTGCAACCCCAATTTAAGGCACTGATAACCCGACTTGTAACTAACCAGGAACCTCCAAGTAGGGAAGAACCCTAAACCCCCAACCCCGTAAACCCCCTAAACCCCCCAAACCCCCTTGACCCGCTAAACCCCCTAAACTCCCTAAACTCCCTGAACCCTTAACCCTAAACCCTAAACCCTAAACCCTCTAGAAGGCTTGAGGTTTCAGGGCTTACTTTAGGTTTAGGGTCTAGGGTAGGGCGGTTGAGCCCTAAACCCCACTTGGAGGTTACTTGGGGTTTAGGGTTTAGGGTTTAGGGTTTAGGGCTTAGGGCTTAGGGTTTAGGGTTTAGGGTTTAGGTTATAGGATTTAGGGTTTAGGGTTCAGGGTTTCAGGGCCTAGGGCCTAGGGCTTAGGGCTGAGGGATTACTTGGAGGTTCCTCGGTAGTTCTAAGTACGGTAACAAGCACCCTGAACTCGGGTGACAAGTATAGTTCATATGCCTATGACTTCTACTTCTAACCCTAAATCCTAAACCCTAAACACTAAACCCCCTAAACACTAAACCCTAAACCCTAAACCCTAAAACCTAAACCCGAAACCCTAAACCCTAAACCCTAAACCCTAAACCCTAAACCCTAAACCCTAAACCCTAAACCCTAAACCCTACCCATGAAGCTGCAAGGTAGGGCAAAGGGCTGAGGGTTGAGAGTAGCCTTCCCTGAGAGCTACACCAAAAGGCTAGGGCCCTTCGAGCCCTAGCTGCCCAAGCCCTAAACAACCCTAAACCCTAAACCCTAAACCCTAAACCCTAAACATTCGAACCCTAAACCCTAAAGCTCCTCCAAGCCACCAAGCCGATGGCGAACGAGCTGATCCCGTCGCAGAGGGCAAAGAGCAGCGACATCATCATGAAATTCCGCCACCAGAACGAGGAGCCTGCTTGTTTCTTAGGGTTTAGGGTTTAGGGCTTAGGGCTTAGGGCTTAGGGTAGGGTTGAGGGCTTAGGGTTTAGGGCTTAGGGTTTAGGCTTTAGGGGCCCATGTAACTACCCTTGACTTGTTCCCGGTGCGCTCGGGGTATGGTTCCTTGGGTGTTTCGAGCTTCAGAGGATGCCACCAATGGAGGCCTAGTAAAGGGCGATTTTGGTGCGCTACTGACGCAGGGGTTGAAGAAGAGATATGTATACATACATGTGATAAATATATATATATATATGTATTTATTTATTTATATTTATATTTATATTCATATTCTTATTTTTCTTTATATTTATATTTATCTTTATATCTATTTTTTAATTTAAATTTGTTTATTTCTTTATATTTATATTTCTATTTATATATATATATATATATATGGGACCTATGTAGCCTTAGACGGATTTAGGCTCCCTTCTGGGAGGTCCTTCCCAGGAAATGAGATCCACTCAACGGCCCACTTGGAGGTTCATGGGACTTATAACTGTACTTATAACCCTACTTATAACACCCCTAAAGGGCCTTATAGGGGTTATCCCAATTATAAGTAGGGTTATGAGTACATGAGGACAGTTATAAGTGGGTAGTAAGTACCATAAACCTTCAAGTACGCGCGCCTGCCGCCTCTGCCGCCGCAGTTGCCCCATTGCTGCTGGTGCCTGAAGTTGCCTGCGGCACGTTGAGCATGGGCTTAGGGTTTAGGGGTTAGGGTTTAGGGTTTAGGGTTTAGGGTTTAGGGTTTAGGGTTTAGGGTTTAGGGTTTAGGGTTTAGGGTTTAGGGTTTAGGGTTTAGGGTTTAGGGTTTAGTGGTCTTTCTACCCCTTGCTGGGTGGAGCTAGGCCACAGTCAGTAGGTAAGTAGTGGAATCATGGCCTTCATGCCCTGCGCTTACCCTTCACTCTCCCAATAGTTTGGGTGTGTTGTCCTGGTCAGCTATATGTCTTGACTTACATAAACTAAATGTGATGTGTTATAGTGCATACTTTGGGAGTTCCGTGGTTCCGGTAGGCTAAGAGAGCCCGATCCCATTTAACAAAGGCATGCTACCTTAATTCAGTGTTCGGGCCCCGGTAGATTTTCAGAAGTAATTAAGGCGTATAAGCCCTTAACCCTAGGCCCTAGACCCTAGACCCTAGACCCTAAACTAAACCCTAAGCCCTAAGCCCTAAGCCCTAAGCCCTAAGCCCTAAACCCTAAACCCTAAACCCTAAACCCTAAACCCTAAACCCTAGACCCTAGACCCTAAACACTAAACCCTAAACCCTAAACCCTAAACCTAAACGCTAAACCCTAAACCCTAAACCCTAAACCCTAAACCCTAAACCCTAAACCCTAAACCCTAAACCCTAAACCCTAAACCCTTCCGAGGGTTTCGGGGATTCGGCCTCCAGCTGCCGCACGCTCAGCTGCGCCACGGGCCGCGGCGCAGGCGCATTGGACATGAAGTGGTTTAGGGTTTAGGGTTTAGGTTTCGGGTTTAGAGCTTAGGGCTTAGGGCTTAGGGTTTAGGGTTTAGGGTTTAGGGTTCAGGGGTAAGGGTTTAGGGGTTTAGGGGTTTAATTAGGGGCTTCGGCTGAGGGATTTAGGGGTTTAGGCGCTTATTGGTTACTAGCGCGCCCCGCATGACTACCATAATGGAAGGTGGATAAGCCTGAAGAGACGCAGGAAAACACGCAGCGCGCTGGATTTTGGCGCTTATCTTTGTCACAGGCTTTTGGGAACTCGGGGTTCCGGGTTTAGGGTTTAGGGTTTAGGGTTTAGGGCTTAGGGTTTAGGGTTTAGGGTTTAGGGTTTAGGGCTTAGGGTTTAGGATTCACGGCTTGTTTTGGGGCAAATCAGGTGCAGGGAGTGAAGGCTTCGTTGTGGAGTTTATGCCCATGGCTCTGGGAAACCCTGCGACTGAAGGCCAAAGCCCCGAACCTCGTTGGGTTTGGGCTTATGTGCCTCGCGGTTGTGATTTATCCAATGTTCGATTAAGCTTCTATCTCTAACAAAATGGTGGCTTCTGCGGCTTCTAGGAAGGCTTGAAGTTTTCAGGCTGTGTCTTCCCAACTCCCTAGACCCCAAACCCTAAACCCCAAACCCCAAACTCCAAACCCTAAACCCCAAACCCTAAAGCCTACACCCCAAACCCCAAACCCTAAACCCCAAACCCTAAAGCCTACACCCCAAACCCCAAACCCGAAACCCTAAACCCTAAAGCCTACACCCCAAACCCCAAACCCCAAACCCTAAACCCTAAACCCCAAACCCCAAACTCCAAACCCTAAACCCCAAACCCTAAAGCCTACACCCCAAACCCCAAACCCTAAACCCCAAACCCTAAAGCCTACACCCCAAACCCCAAACCCGAAACCCTAAACCCTAAAGCCTACACCCCAAACCCCAAACCCTGAACCCCAAACCCTAAACCCTAAACCCCAAACCCTAAACCCTAAACCCCATAGGGAGCTCTTCGGGCCGCGACTTCGGGGGACAGCGGCTGCGGCGAGGCCTGGAAAATGCCGAGGTGGGCCCCGGGTTCAGGCTGGGACGGGCCAGGCTCTTGTTTAAGAGAACCAATGTATTGTGTAAGGGTTTTAGGGTTTAGGGTTTAGGGCTTAGGGCTTAGGGCTTAGGGCTTAGGGCTTAGGGCTTAGGGCTTAGGGCTTAGGGCTTGGGGCTTGGGGCTTAGGGCTTAGGGCTTAGGGCTTAGGGTCTTATATTAAACCCTAAATAAACTTGAACTCAAATCTCAAAACAGGCTTATGGAGCAAGTAGAACAAGCAAATGCCCTTCTTACAACTACGGTAACTTTATGCACTTTCGGCTCGGAGTCTAGAATTAACATCCTCAAATACCACACAGGAATCAGAACAAGAAACTGGACCCCTGACCCGAAACTCCTTGCGGACTGACACACAAGACCTTGTCGGAATGGGGTCACCAACACAAAGATTGAGACATACAGTCGAGATTTCAGGGCAAGCCGCGCAAAAAGCCTAGGATCATACCCGCAAAAGCTGCAAGCCCTTGGGAAAAAATCCAGCTCAAAGAGCTTCGCCCGAATGAAAAAGCCAAAACCACCAAAGTTATCCCTTGGAGCTTTAGGGTTTAGGGTTTAGGGTTTGGGGTTTAGGGTTTAGGGTTTAGGGTTTAGGGTTTAGGGTTAAGGGTTCAGGGTTTAGGGTTTAGGGTTTTACCCCCCGTCCTTGCCCCTTGCCCCAAGCGGCCGTGACCGCGCCGGGCGAGGGCCAGGAGGTGGGGGCCGGCTTAGCCTCTGCCTGCAGTTGAGTTCAGGTTGGAAAGAGGGAGGCTTCAGGTGCCTATTGAACCCCTTAAAGGGTACATATAGGGGGATATAGGGGTTCCGCTAGAATT